TTTTTTTTTCTCAATTTAATCGAGCGCTTCCCCTTTGTTCACCGTCCGGTTGGTGAATCTAGTGAGTGGTGTTGAGGATTATCTGAGGCACAGCGAGTATGATGAATGGGCAATGGACGATCAAGTTCCGTGGGGTTGTTGCGGCTTGATGTAGGAGATGAGTTTGTTTGGACTCCGATACAGAGCTTGCGAAAATATGTAGATAGTCGGAAGGGATATTTCGAAGTTGGATAATGTCGAATAAGAATTTATATTCAGCGAGTGTATCGTGGAGTGCTGAATTCCTGCCTACTACCTGGAAATTTTCCAAATGAGTGACGAACTATTTGCGAGGAGGACATTTCAAGGGTGTCATTGGAACCATACGTCACGGGGTAGGAGTTGCTTAGGCAGCAGTGTAGCAGATACTGGCTTGAAGATGTTGTGTTCACGGTCGGAGGTTGTTACACGTGGGGTTCGTGGCTTCCTCATGAAAATTGTTCTGCAACGACAGCAACATTTGAGAGAATATATTTGAAATCAAGGCACGGGTAGGTCCGTAGTCATAATGTGGACGGTATTCTCTTGACAAGCATTTACTCTGAAATTTGCTTTCAACCGAAACTCAGCTACATGCTAGTCGCCTAGATTTCAACGGAATAGTCTATTATGATTATGTGCGTGATCTGTTTTGTGATTAACGAGAGAAATATGCCATTAAAAGTTTGGGCAAAACAAGTAAGGCGTTTGGCTCACTTAGGGGAAGGTTGTTCATAAAGAGAAAAAGCCCAATAAAAATTGAGTTATTTGAAGCTACACAAGAGATCTATCACTCCAATGACTGCCAGTCATTTTAACTTCAATCTAAACTTAATGATAAGTTGAAAATTAGAAGTTGACAATACTAAAACAGTATGAAAAACAAAAAAATTTTGGTTTAGGGGAAGACGCAGTTCAGGTCCGTGTCTTTTTTAGCAGCACCCACTCCTATGATTTTTCCAGCACCGTAAACAGATCCTTGTTTTCTTATCATGTCATGATAATGCTTTCCGATGGCTATTGATCGGTGAAGATTAAGGCTGTGAATGTTTTCTTCTCTCTGAATTCGTTATGATGAGCAGTAATCAATAACTGTTACTGCTTTATTTACTATCAATAGGATATCCCCGGGAGTTTCCGGCTCACAGACAGCAGTTTCCCTTCAGTGTTTGTTTACAATCAGTGTTTCTGATGGAGTTAGGCCTTTGAGAGCGTTGTTCAGCAAATGGCTTTCTCCTCAGCGGACACGTCATCATTTTTCGTTGTCATCACCGGAATTTTATCGCTTTTCAGTTGTTAGTGATACTTCAGTGGCTCATAGTTGCCCCACAGGCCCCCTTTTCCGCTCCTGTTCTACATCCGGCTTTTTAGTTTTTTAGACTCTTGATCAGACCATGAATGTAAATTTCCAAATACTCCTAACTGCTAACGAATATACCAGTACAGGTTTCTTAGATAGTATGCTTGCTTTGAAAAGGTCACAATCAGTAGTTATTGTAAAATCAGGCTTGAAAACGAATAACTGACTGTTTCTATTGAGTTCTTTGCTTTAAATAATGGTACCATGCCCAAGAATAGTATGGAAACGAAGTCTTCATCTGGCAAAGTACTGGTCAAATGAGGGTTCTGGTTGATTGATGCCCTAAAACATAAGGTTTTGTTCCAGTTCCAATTTTAAGTAAAAGCAAATTAGTAAAAAAATTGATTTCAAATGAATCGATGCGAAAAAATGCTGATGTCGCCTTTGTGTTGCTTCACCAGAATTCATTGTACGAGCCTTCATCATTCAGTTATGATTGAACAGTGACGCATAGCCTATCATATCGATCCGACTGATCGTAGGGAACTGTTCTCGAAAGTGTTATTCTTTGGAAATTCCTGGCCTCTATTTTGTGGGCGTATCTAAATATTATGAGAGACCGGAATTTCCCATGAGCTCAGAATAGGTAATCATTCTGAGGTTGTACAAGTAACTGTCTGAGGTGATTGCAATCATTCTTCTTCTTGATCAAGAACAAGGTCATGGAGTGTTTTTGACGTGATCGGGATCAATGTCACAGGAAAACCTTCCATTGACGAACCCCTCTAACAATACTGGTAGAGACTGTAAAGTTGCTGGGATCTCCATAGTCTAGCGGTGATTAGAACAGAATGGGGATGGGATTGTGTCGCGGATTCCGTAGAAGGAAGGGGGTGTCATGTGTAATCAGTTGCGTGAAAGGTTCTTCGACCTCAGGAGACGGAAAAGTAAACACATAGCGAAATGAACGATATTCTTCATCTTTTACTGGATGAACACACGAAAGTGACCGGACTTCTTGATTTTTGCAGGGTTTCTAAAAGTAAGCGTAGTTTCAAAAGGATTATCGCTGGTCTCTCTCAACTTTTTTGGTATCAATTTCAATTTTAAAACCCTATGCCATCAGCGTTTCTGTGATTCTGCCTGCTCACTCTAGTTTGAGTGGTTCAAGCCTTTTTATTAATGCCTAAGCGAATACGATCTACATCTAGCCGGGAGATGGCAACCGGAGAAGTTACCCTTTTAGGTAAAGCTCTCTTTCTACATTCTCTGCAATTCTCAGCAAATTAACAATACAACAATTGGCTCAGTTCATGAATACTTAATGAATACTTATGGAACTGTAAATTTCGAAACCTCGACTGTACTCCATCTATAATTTTCTGTGCTGTCCTGTGCTACTTCTTAGCAAGCTCCCTTCGATTCTCTCTTAATTTCATGTAGCAATTTAATTAAAAAAACACGGTTAATTCAAATCTTTCGAAAGTTCGCAGACAGTTACAACGCTCGATAAGTTCACATTCGTTTCTCACGAATTGATTTCAGCGATGCCGCGAACTGATATGAGTGGGGGAGGGCATGTTGAAGTTCCGATTGCATTACAACTATTGTTCTTGCTTGCTAAAAGATGTACTAATAAAAACAAGTTTTGGACTTCGATCGGCACTATGCCTATGACTTTTTGGCAAGCGTCGCTTGAAGTCAAAAATTCCAAAGATCTGTTCGCCCCAGCCTGGAAGATTCCATGCTGAGCCCAACGATTCAGGCCTAGCAAACGTGTGAAATTATTCTTTTGGGTTGAAAGACTATCCTACTTGTTGCGGTTTACCAGTTTCCAAATTGCATTAGGTCACAATCAACAGTCGCCTTATCGTTCTCCGCTTGATCTGATCTTCAAATATTCGCTGAATGGTTTTACAGTTCCTCTCTCAAGCTTAGATTTTAGACGAGTTTTCTGTATCCTCTACTCGCAGGCATGTTCTCTTAGCTCTCATGTTGTAAGAACTTCTCGACTTCCTTAAGAGAGTTGGTTAGCTGGATCTCTCAGAAGGGCAGAACTGTAGTTTTCACAAAACTAGCTCAATTTCCATCTGTTTTTCATTTGTCTAGTGATTTTATGTGAAAATTTGACTTTACATTCTGACATACTGTAATATACTTCCCTGTGCGGATTTTTCAGAACTTGAGTTGAGATTTACTTTCGAACTTCTATGAAACTATGAAACAAAGGCCCCTCTCAGTAGTACTACTACTAATATCCACTTTTATTCCTTCGAAAATCCTCTACAGTTCACATTTTCGTCAGCTACCACTGATTTTTTGCTCCGGTACTCGATCGATGTTCCCTTTCGCGTCTTTCTGACTTCATCTCAGATGCCTCTCACAATTGATCCATCTCGAACTGCCCTTCTGAAGAAGTCGGTTCCTCGGTGTTCGATTTCCGTCGACGATATCCAATCCATAACAACACGGAATGGTAACAGCTCGGCGTCAATTCTGTGGCCCCTGCCACAGTTCACGCTCGAGGTTCCCAAATGTCCGTCCAACGCATCTCTTAGACCACCAAGTCCTATACCTTTAGGAGGAGCTAACGCAGCCGGAGCAGATTATGACTTTCGGTTAGTTATTCTGGCTCTGAGTAAATCTCGAATGAATACATATTACTGTTTAGTATTAGTATTTATACATTATAGTTATTTAAAACTTAGCTAGAATCGTTATGAAGTGGTTGTATAGGCTTCATTGGGAAATGCCAACAGTTTTTTGCTACTGAAAAATCCAATTGAATAACAGATGCTGAATCAATCGGTTGGCATCGTTCCACAAGGTGTACTGAGCGTACCACTTACGGAATATTTTTGATTTTTTTCATATTTTATTTGGTCTCTTCGCACTTTCCACTGACAGCACAAGTTCAGGCATCGAGGAGAACTGGATATGTCGGAGAAGTACAACTACGACTTGAGTAAAGCCCAACTCAAAGCGAGCAGCAGGACATCGGCCTTGTTAGCTGGTTTTGCAATGGTGTGTTGAATATATGTTTACATTGCTTCTGTTACCCTGTTACTATATAGTTTTTGTGTGCAATTAAGATATTATGAATATTGATTCGATGGTGAATACCTTTTACTTTATGTCTACTCTATTCATTCTCAATTTATTGAGATATTAACTCAATAGAGACTGAGGGGGCCAGCATATCGAATGATATTGAACATTTCGTGATAACTGCTATCATTGCATTCTTTTGTACTTCAAAGGCTAGGTATTTAACTCATAAGCTTTCCTATATTTTAAAAAATCGCTTTACATCTTGCAGGGTGAAGAGCCTTGTGCCACCTTGCCATCATATTTTCTCTTCCTTGCCTTCCTTTCTGTCCTCTATAACTCTATCGTTTCTTCCTAAGTATTTTAAAGGGGGCACAACATTTAGGGGGTAAATGATTAGTTGAAGCTGATGCCTCTAAAGTAGTGGCTGCAGTGTATTGGGATGACCTTAATGCGACTTAATTTTAACTCTACCCTAAATCCAATCCGTCTTGCAAAAAAAAGTTATTCTCCAGACTAGATTGTTATCTAAAAAATCTAGATTGGGTGGATTCGCAGTAAAAACTATTGAACATCGTAAGCTCTTTCAGGTGGCGTTGGTAGAACTGCAATACGATCAAAATACACCGCATTGGCTTCTGATATTGCTCGGTGTTGTCACAACATTGCTCGTCTCAGTACATTTACTGGCCCTGATGATGTCCACTTGTATTCTACCGTATATGGAAGCCACTGGATGCACTCAGGACTCGCCACATATACGACTGAAGTATGTTTACCCATGATCGCCTTCGATACTGCTTAGGGATCATTCCTAAAAAAGGCTTGAGAGTTCTGCTTCCTTACTAAGTGGAACCATCAACCAAGAAATGAAACTTTGTAAAGAGCCTACGCTGTTGTCGTGAGCAAAACTTTTCCAACCGATGTTACTACTGTCCGACCACTCATATTAGTTTATTCTACCCGGCTCAGAGTAGTTTTGGTGGCCCATAAGCCCTTAGCCACCCGTTTACATTTTTATTGAGCCCCGTCCAGCTCAGCGGGTTTCATCAAAGATGACCCGTGAAAAGTATCAGCAGAAGTAATGGACCGTCCGGCTTAATTACTTTGTTTGCGGGAGTTCATTAACTTTCAAGTACCATGGCGTTCTACCTTTTCTACCCTATACTTAATTTTTTAGAAATGTACTGATTTTCTACTTCAATATCTTTTTTCAGGTTCTATATAGATTTGTCGTGGCTCTTCTCTACATGTATTGGCTTATTACTTTTCCTCGTTGAAATCGGTATTATATTTTTTGTAAAGTTCACTTCTGTAGACTATCAGATAGCTGGGTATATCACTACGGCGATGTTAGGTGAGTTCTTCTTCCTCTTCTCTTTTGTTGCTTTCTTTTCTTTTTTTTGCGTACCTTTTTCACTTCTTTTTTTTTATTGTGATGTATTTTACAGTTCCCGTTGTGGTCGTTTTCGTCATATTTTCGTACTTGATTCATAAAAGTCGGGTATCACATACTCTGGGACGGTTCAAAGACAAGGTGAGTTCATCTTTCAGTGGTTTTGCTCTGAAAGGAAGTAATAGTAGTTAGATCTTACATAAGTAATAGTGGCCTGAGATTGTTGAATAATTCGGTTAATTTCGAGTTGCCCTTCCAAAATTCTCGAAAAATTTTTCACTCTGAACTAGCCTCGTAGGAAGATGATCTGGGAAGTTTACCACCGCAGAGTGAGAGTGAACATTCAAGGGGAAAGTTTCCGATCGGCCCAGCTCAAGAGGGATCTCTTCACTAGTAAGAGTTGGTTTGCATTCCTAGGACTTTTCATTTTTCAAAATGACTATCTTTTCCGGTTCCTTTGGTTCCCTTGCAAATGGTGGATAAGCTGCGTTGGGCGGAGATATCTTTTTCCTCCTCCAGTCCCGCCCCCAAACCATCCCCTCACACATGCACACCTTCTCGCCCCCATGTCTACTCCTCTTTCTTCCAGCTTCTTTCCTAAGGCTAACGAAACGGTTACGCCGCTTTCTCTAATTTCTGGAATTTTCATTTTCTTGACTTCGTGGGGTGGCGGTGGAGGCAAGACTTACGATCAAATAAATCGCGAATGAATATTTATCTTTTAGGTCGACACGATGAAGCACTTCCTTGACGTTGAAGCTCAAATACCGAAGCCTTCTTTAGGTGGAGTTAAAGATATTTGAGTAGTATTTAATAATTTGCCTCACTGCCAAATACTATTGATTTGTGTGAGGTTGTAAACTGTTCCCAGAATTAGTGTAACTCTTTCTTTGTTGTTGCTAAACTCTCACCGGCAGGGTTGTTGAATAGTTATCGTTGGAAATTTATCACCAATAGAACTCTGTCAATAATTATCATTCAACGTTTTTGTTGAAACCTTAGCTTGTTATCGTTCTTTTATCGATTTCCTCGTTAGCTATTGATTACCTCTGAAAGTGATATGTATTTAGACAATGTTCATATTCTATCGTTCAGTGCTATCAATTCAGTCCGTTGAAAGCGGGTTCTTTTTTTTTCAATTTGTCCTGATGTTATGCGACGAATTTAATTCAATGGCCAAATTCATAAATTTTTAAAAATTTTGTGATTCATCTTTCAGGCCGTAGTTTCGCGGTCTTCTACTGTTAACGTATTTAACCCATATCTATGTAAAACTCGAAGCCAAACTGATCAAAGCGGAGTCTTTTTTTTATGAAACCCCAAAAGTTGCCCCAGCTCAGAAAAGATTTTCTGGCTGTTACGAAAATTTAACAGACACCAGGGTCCTTATTAGAGGCTAGAAAAGTAGTAAGCGTGGCAATGGGCAAGCGCCATGCCAGGTTTATGCCATGTATTATGCAAAAGTTCAATTTGCGGAAACAGTCTGATGTGAGCTTAATTTCTACAGTGAATAATCAAATCGATATCAATCCATTTATCAATCGTCATTGGTAGTTCTTATACGGACTGCAGACAATTTTGGAAAGGGAGCTGATCATAGTCTTCAAAAGAGTAATGAAAACTACCATCATGAAAACTTCATGATAATTACCTAGCACTCATCTTCAAATTGGTTCAAGTTTTGGCTTACCCTCCGTGTACNACGCCATGTATTATGCCAAGTTCGATTTGCAGAATCAGTCTGATGTGAATTTAATTTCTGCAGTGAATTATCGAATCGATATCATGCATTTATCAATCGTCATTGGTAGTTCGGATACCGACTGTAGACAATTTTGGAAAGGGAGCTGATCATAGTCTTCAAAAAGAGTAAGTAACCACTTCATGAAAACTTCATGATGATCGCCTAGCACTCATCTTCAATTTGGTTCAAGTTTTGGCTTACCCTCCGTGTACATTATTACGATCAGTGGTGCAAGTCTGAAAAGCATTGCCAACTCACTAAATTCGCTCGATGGAGTTCACAACGCCACTTTCCGCATCGAACTTATAGGACTAAACAATGGAAGTACAATCAAACAGTACTGCAATCGTCGGGCAACTCAACTCAACGCTGGCTCATCCCTTTTCTGCTTCCATCGGGAATCAAAGAGCTATTGAACGTTGCCTGTTTGAAAGTAACTTATTGAGTCCTTTGTCCACCTACATAAAACTAACTAATAGTTTCGCTGAAGAAATATTACTTTTTTCAAGATTATTTCTGCAATTTCTTAAGAAATTTAGTTGAATTCGACTCAGATTGAGCGTAGCTCATTTTCCCAGACAGAAAAAAAAACGCTCAATAGACCCATCCTTCATCACTCTTCTCGCTGTTATCGACCGAAATTTCGCGCTATCTCTGAAAGTTTTATGGACGCTGCGGAGGGCTGCTATAAAAAACGGCTAATGCGGTCGACCTCTCTTGATTTTTTCTTATCGTTTTATTGCTATTACTAGTCTCTCACACTGTTCGTTCATGGGAAAATTTTATCAATTATTTCATGGAAACAACTGTTATGGCCAAGGAAACTGTTGCGGATTTTTAGTAGGATCCCATATCCTTTCGGTCATTTTCTCCAATAGCCATGAGTCTCCTGATCGTCTCTTCTTTATAGGAGGAGCGAACGTACACTAAGGCCAAAACAAAACTGTACGGCTCCTGTTCAGGTTATGGCGGTGTCAATAACTCGTGCTACTCCAGCAGATGCTCCGATTTTTATGAGTATGGTTAGAGAGCTCGCCGAGTTCGAGAAAATGCCCGAACATGTCAAGGTATGATCAGTTGCATAAATGAAATCACTGAGCACCGATGAATATCGCGCTCCACCCCCGTTTCTTTGTGGTCACTTAAATCCCATTTGATCCATGCCCCCATCTGAAGTCCCTACATAATGATACTTAAAATTAAAGTATACAGGTAAAGTTCAAGGTAAGCTTCAGGCATTTTTAGATAGATGCCTTAATAGGAATAAATTTAATACAAATCCAAAATTTGAAGAAAAAATGGTGTACTGCCGTTTTATTTCTAGATCGATGATGCACAATTGGCAGCCGATCTTGAGAAAAAAGCTGTTGATGGCTTTTTATTGCGTGAAGAGGGTGAACCAGCGGCAATAATTCTCTTCTATTATGCTTATTCCACCTGGACTGGTCAGTACATCCATATGGAGGATATCTACGTGCGACCACCTTTTCGTCGAAAGGGATACGGTCGACTGCTGTGGCAGGAGTTGGGAAAATTAGCCAAGGAAATGCGTGTGGAACGGTAAGCATGTCTTTACTGGTATTCTGTAGTTAAGGTCATGAGATTAGTTAAAAATACTCGAAGAAAAAATCTGCTTGGGTCATTTTCTACCCATAAAGGTCTTTTTTTAGACTACAGTGGAATGTGCTCGACTGGAATTCTAATGCAATTGCTTTCTATGAAACATTACCATGCGAAAACCTAACAAAGACGGAAGGATGGTTACTGTATCGACTAAACACCGATGGAATAGCTGCTTTAGCGGAAAATAAACCTACTTCGCGACAGTAGACGATCTCTAATAGGAACCATTGAATAAACAGTTATTTTATTTGCAAAAATCTGTTGTTGGGAAGAAAAAGAAATTGGCAAATTCCAAAAGGTTTTCTTACAATATCTCTATCACTATTTCGTGTCAAAGTACCTTATCACAGCCCTATTGCTGCAATTAATTTGCAAATATACTACGATACCAAGGTATATTTTCATATATGTTTAAAGAAAACAGGTCACAACCTTCACAACAATTCAGTATAACGAAAAATTCGAATTGAAAAGGTGAAAGTTGAAGGATTCAAAGGGAAGCAACTGATCGTAGGAAAGAGGTCCTACAACGAACACCTCTGAGACGTGTAGTGTTGGCAAGATGCCAGCTTTCGTTGGATTGTTCTTTTGGAATTTGTCTTGTAAATTTACGTTGAAGTAGTCGTGTTCTGTACTTGTCGTGTCTATAGTAAAGCAGTTTGTTCAAATGGAACTCATGTGTTCAAAAGCTCCTGGGTGGTTGCTATCGTTTGCTGCACTTCGCTTGTTTCGTCCGCTCCGTTCCGCTTATTTTTACTTAATTGCCCTGTTTTCGGTAGGATACGCGTACAATAAGCCATAATGGTGCTGATCTCGGCTAGTGTTGTGTCGAAGTCTGGAAAAGGTTTGCATATTATTCTCCTTTCTATTTAGATTGAGAGGTTCAAAATGCATTTCAACTTTCAGCGCTCGTCACCCGAGTTTTCGTCTCGGACATGACACGAGCTCGTATGGAGGGTTTGCTTGATGCCTTTCCCAAGCTCATAGGCAGCGATAAGGATTCAGGTTTGCATTCATTCTGCACAACATCGTTTATTTCCGTAACGACTTCATTCTTCTACCATTTCTTGCCATCAAATCTGTAACAAAAATTGAATTTTATGCAAACAGTACTTTTACGGCATTGAGGAGTTTCTCGTTCGCAGATCCGACTCTTTTATCGAAGTAATGGTCCATATATGTAGAACCGTTTGTTAGCCATGTTGTCAGTAGCTCCTCAAAATCTCTGGAGCCTGTCAAAAAATATTCAGCCAGTTGAAGGCGCTCGTGAGCGTGCATCATTCCACTGCTATGAAGGAACAGTTGTCAAACTTCGCACTGTGGATATCAGATGACTGGTGGCACTTATTCAGAAATTGAGAGCATACCTACCCTGCGATGGCCACTGCGAGGTGTCGCAACTTCCCAGAAACAACCATAACTGGGAGGACTAGTAGGAGTTATTCATCTTAGCCAAATGAAGGTGAAACGATGTTGATGTGCAAGTACCAAACGATGTGATTTAGAGAAGCTCACTCCGTTAGAAGAAAAAAACGCTTTTATTCTTCCATTCCATATTCTAGTGTGTTAGGCATCAAGAATAGTGGCAGTAGTCATACTAAAACATAACACTGTCTCAACGCAATAGTAGAACCTTGCGCTCTAGAGAAATGAATGTGTAGAAGGCTTTTGGCTGTGAATCGAGAATACAAAGCGCAGCATGAAATGAGTCGTCTGGAAGAGATTTTTTGAGCAAAATGAGTACTGTGATGTTCTCGAACTCACCATTTCTGCTCTACCAATCGGAATTTTCCATCAAATCAATAATTTTGATATCTCTACTCGCTAGTGAACTACATTCATATTGTTACATGGGAGCCGATTTCTTATTGACTGTTTTATATCTGCTCTCAATACATCGTAACTTCAGATTCAAACAAAGCAGGTTCGTGCCAGAAGCAAGTTACGATCACCTTTTTGTTTCACTCTTAACGGCTTCTGTCGTGTGTCGGATTAATCTGCTGCAATAGTGCTTCATCACTTTTTAATGCTTGCTTTACGTTTGACACGGGCTCTTTTCTTTGTCTTCATTTCGTTCTTTCTTTATCAGGGCTTCTTTTGCCAATTTTTGGGCACACTGCACTGTAAGAGAAGTGTGGGCGATAACCTGACGCAGTTCGGTAGTAGGAATGAGAAAAAGGGTGGCAAGTAATTCATCCTAAAGAAGACGGGTTTTGCCGTCTTTCCAGCATACTGAACACCTTTTTTTCATGACAACTTCTTAATTGCAAACTCCACTTATCGTTCACACTTTGTGAAAATTCAAAAAGTTGGGCAGCAGTTAGCACAAGCTCCCCTGAAAAAAGCGGCCGTTTCCTTACTATGGTCTTTTTATTTGACTTTTTGAGGCAAAATGTTTCACTTTCGCGAAAGTGGTCCTGCTAGCCCAATTTTTTAGAATACTACACGGATTATGTAGCCTTCGCGAAATTAGCCTAATGATTTTAGCCCAACGACAACACACATTCATTGAAACCGACAGTGTACGCTACGTCTATCATCCTTTGGATAACCTCTACATGGTGCTCATTACAACGAAAACGTCAAATATCCTGGAAGATCTCGAAACGCTGAGACTTTTTTCACGCGTGGTATGTGTTCCGTGTATCTCTCTTTCTGTAAAAGCGTAGAATCTACAAGAGCACGTTACATTTCCGACAAAGGTATATTTCTTACTCATTTACCGTTTTAGGGGTCACTGCCCCTGAAGACATATTTGTTTTATGATTTATCGAGGCATTTTTCATATAATTATTCCTTTCGATATAATATGCTGGTTACATACGAACTCGGTGGCCTAGCAAAGGAAAATGTTTTTCTATTGAATTTCGTGTTGACAAACAGAATAAAGGACTTGAGGACAGAAAGCAATTTATTTTATTCTGAATTCTCAAACTAGATAAGTGAATTCAGATTCCCGAGTATTGTCGATCAAATGATGAGAAGGAAATTCTTGCGCACGACTTCGATCTAATCTTTGCCTTTGATGAAGTTGTTACGCTCGGCTACAGGTACGTGGGCTTACGTATCGTTGTACTCTTTCTAAAACTGGTCTGTTTCAATCTGCCTGAACCTTTTTTTTCAGGGAGAATGTAAACTTGGCTCAGATCCGAACATTTACTGAGATGGACTCCCATGAAGAGCGTGTATTCCTTCAAATCAAGGAGGTATCCCTACCCTTACCCCCTTCGCCTCGGTTAGTACTACATGTTTGCCTTCAAAACATTGATTAATTTGAGGCTCAAGAACGTGCTGCGAAGCAGGCAATGGCAGAAAAGGCGAAAGAATTTAAACGGATGCAAAAGGAAGCTCTCAGCAAGGGCCTTAAACCAACTGGTCAGTCAAGCTTTGTTGTCGTAACAGTGCAGTTTAATATCAGTTCTTGTTCAAGCAAATTTCACCGCATCGGCTACCGGAATTTCATCGTCATCGACGCCATTGACTGCTGTACAAGAACCTGTTGCACCCAGACAGTCTGCTCCTACATCAAGAGCCGGTGGAGGCAAGGTACGTAATTGCAAAAGCTTTATCGATTACTAATATTCGCTCTGTATTGAAATCGGCGTTTTTGGCTTCGCACTATTTTATTTTTTCTGTTATTACTTACAGGCTTTGAAACTTGGAGCGAAGTCCAAGGATGAAGATGTCTTCCTGCAACAACTTCGTCAAGAAGGACAAACCATTGCACCGGTCGAAAAGGCTTCGGTAAGTCACCCCTGGATAATTTGTTAGGAGCCTTTACCTTTAGATTTTGGGCCCCTAACATTTGGAGCTATGTGTTAAAGTAATTAACGTCGTGTCTTGCAGCGCGATCACGGCGGAGTATCAGCAGTTGCTCCTCCAATATCTAACGTGAAACGTGAAGCGGTTCATGTTCGCACCGAGGAAAAGATGGTAGCCACAGTGAGCCGGGATGGAGGTTTACAAGGAGTGGAGGTACTTTTCTATATAAGAATGTTGTTCTACTAGGCGAAGACTTATCGGAAGATGTTATAGATTCTTGGAGTGGTATCGCTGTCGGTATCTTCTCCCGAGTACAATACGGTCTCTGTTCAGATGCATAATAAAGCCCCGGCAGGAGTCCAGTTGCAGGTTTGTTAAGCGCTTTGAAGGTTCTGATTTTGAAAGAAATCATTTTTTTTGGCATAGACATTCCCAAACTGCCTACCGATTTCATGATTTGAAAAATATGTTGGGTGTTCTGTAGATGTTGGGTTTAGCCAAATTGAACTGTTTAATTGCTTAGGCAGTTGCGGTAACAAATGATGTAGTGTATCAGTTCAATTCTTCCTTTTCAACCTTTGTATTTTTCGGAGACTTGATCAGAAACTGGGTTTTAGTCAAATTTACTGCTACTGTACTACTTAGGTTCATCCCAATCTTGACAAAAAGGAATGGCAGGCTTCTCACATGCTCAAGTTGAAATCGGCTGGTAAACCGTTCCCGGTCAACAATGACGTCGGTGTGCTCAAATGGAAAATGGTGCTCACTGAAGAAGAACAGCTCCCTCTTGCACGTAAGTCAATAAACTTCCTTGCTTTACAGCCATCCTTACATTTTCTTCGATGTAGAGGTTTTTCATAGTTCAAAACGCTAAATCGTTCTATACTTGTTTTACCACCATAGTTTCACCAATGTTTCTGAATGTTTTTCGTTTAAGTGAACTGCTGGCCTCAAGAATCTGCTGATGGGTGTCAGGTGAACATCGAGTATACATTGCAAAGAGAAGATCTTTCATTGGAAAATGTGGTCATCACAGTTCCTTTGCCGTAAGTATACATATTGATCTTACAGTTAGTAAATGTAATGTTCATGGCTTCTCATTATGATGTGTAGACAGTTGTTTTTATAACTCCTCATCAAAGTTCTAAAAAAATGAGGGTTGCGAAACGACTAGCTGAGGTTTGGTTTCCAAACACCGAGTTTGCCAAGGGATCACTCTAGGGNTTTTTTTTTTTTTTTTTGATGTTTTGGGTTTACGGCACTCAAAATGAGAAAACGGGAAATACCGGAACGAGCAAATAAATAAATGGATATCCCTTTAAAACAGAGTGGTCTTCAACTTCGGTCTGTTCTGTAACATAATTATTCCAGCGCTGCTACGGTTCCTGTAGTCTCCGAATGTGAGGGCTCCTACGACTATCAGAAAAGCCGCAACCAGCTTGTTTGGACAATGCCGGTCATTGACAGGTAGTAGTTAACGCCATTCAAGCCGTGCTTTCTCATTTCTCGTTTTGGTTGCCTTTCAGCACTAATTCGACTGGAACCTTGGAGTTCAGCGTGCCGAATGGTCACGCAGACCACTTCTTCCCGGTTCATGTCCGTTTCCACACCGAAAAATTATACTGCGATATTGGGGTAAGCTGCTTGTCTGATCAAATATTATGCCTAAGAGTTTCCATCTAGCCCTTGGCTCGTCATGGGGCGTTGAGTTGAGATTCATCCTCTGTGTTGTATTTAAGGTGGAAGGAGTTCAAACGAATGATGGCAATACTGCAGTACCATTTTCTGTCGAGACTCGCTTGGTGACTGAAAAGTACGAGGTAGTATGAAGTTGTCAACCAGTACGATTTGTTGAACGCTATTTCTATTTATTTTTATTAAATTATATCTAAGATCAGCAGATAGTTGACATTGTTTCTAAGACATTACTTATCGTATTTTTTTGTAATAAGCAATGTCGTTTCGATCTGTGATACAGTTTTTGGTGTTCGTTTTTTCTCTCTGAATATATGTACAGTCTTTACAATTAAATATCATAAGGTAAAAGAAGACATACGACGTGACAGTGAACTAAACAGTTGGTGGCAGTTCCTTTATAATTACCTTAATTGTCCTATTTCCTGTGCAAAAACACTCATCCTCCAAAGTCAAGCAAAACTACTTGAACGTCCATCACATTAGTACCAGTTGGCCCTGGTTTAATATGATTTTTACCGTTTTTAAATTGGGACCAGAACTCGTACGAATTTGATGCATTCAAGTAGCTTTGGCCCTCTCTTATTAACTCGTCATCAATATCATCATTGGAGATAAGAGCGCCAGCAGCATCTGTAGGACCATCTTGTCCATCAGTCCCTGCGGCAAGAAATAGAAACGGAGGAGCAGGATCAGATTTGGAATGGAGAGCTATGAGGCAAGAAAGTGTCATTTCTTGGCAACGTCCTCCTCGTCCATTACCGTGTAGCACAACAGTTGTCTCGCCGCCGAACAACAAAGCAACCTAGGTGGGTTAGAAGTTTTTGATGTTACTTTATTTATTTCATCAAAGTTAGTTATATCAATGCAGAAATTGTTCTCTATTGAACATACCGTATTTCCCAGCGAAAAGTTAGGCTTTTTGCCGAACTTTTCCAGTTTTGCAGAAATATTGTCCTTTCCCGCAGCAATTAATTCGGCGAAGTATCGTCCAACTTCTGTAGCATTTCCTTCAAGATTTGAGCTAACAATGTGGGAGTCATACCCAAGCGAGGTGAAGTAGCATTTCATTTCTTCGAGTGCGTACGTGTTCGAAGCAATAATGATGTTGTGAGGTTCGGAATGGCGCATTGGCGGCTGCGACGATTCCTAAAGAAGCACTAACAGCCTGTTTACCATTACTATTGATTTGTTTCTGTGCAATCAGTAGTTGTGTACATTAGAGAACAAGGATGCTGATTGTGGGATTCCAAAAACTGATCCATTTTCTGAGAATCTTCAGAAGCTGACCACTATTGACGGTTCATTCCCTGCTTCCCTATTTATATAACCCTATTATATTGACCTATTCATCAATGTTTACGAAAATCCCCACATTAAAACCCATTCTGCCAAAACGTGTTCTTGTAAATCTGAAAAGTATGTGTATCTTTGGAGAGAAGGGAATAAGCCAACTGGAAGGAGGGCACGCACCATGATTCGTCGATTGATTGGTCGATATTGAATGATTCATTACCTCCATTTGCTATTATTTTGTAGATTGTTTTGAAGGACAAAAATTTCTAAAGAAAGATTTATATTGAGCATACCCGAACTCTGTTCATAACATCTGGTGATAGCAGTGATGTCCACTTTGGAGACGTAGTGATTGCATTGGACAATTCTATCATAGATGCGGTTTGTGGAATAGTAGGACCACTTGCGATAAATTGTATTTGATCACCGACTAAATCCGATATAATTAAGGCCACCACCTGAATAAAATATTGTTCAATTGGGATCCGCAGCTTAATATGTAGTCTTAAAATTCCTTCGTGTCGCTTGAGTGCCAAAAGGTTCGGAACATACCTCTCCCTTTTTCACAAAGTTGAGCGTCTTTCCTCCTTTCACAACAGATAATTTTTGTCGAAATGCATTAAGTACTCGAATATCAGCACCATTTGACGTAAGAGTTCTTATAGCAGAGAGTTTTTCTCCCAAAGAGAGCCCATCAGGAGCGCAAAACAGAGCCGAACCACCTCCTGTCGAAAAAAAACTGAGTGGGATTTCAAGATAAGTGTTCAACTGGTAGTTAAGGTTAAAGTAAAAAAAAACAAAAACAACATACAAAAAGAGGGAAAAACCGGAAATTCTGCAATTGCCGCTCGAAGCAATTTTATGAGATTTGTACTAGCACAAACAAAATTGTATTGCGTAATGTTCGGACTCTTTTTTTTTTGTTTTCTACTGGTTTCTCAAAATTTTTTGAAGCGTCTAGGCATCAATCTCTATGCACGAAAGTCTTAAAAACCGCGTGATTTTTTACACTAATTCATTTCAGACTAATAGTTGATATTAAAGTTACCCAATTAAACAGCTACCAAAATGATCATTATTAATTTTCACCATTAAAATCACCTGAAATAAGAAATAGGAATACAACATCGTCTGCATCGTTATCCTGAATATAGCGTAGTGCCTCTCTTGTGGCGGCCACTGAGTTCGAATCAGGCAAGTTGTTATGAGCACCATAGAAGACCCGAGAACGTAGCTTGGGGTTCCTAGCATGCAAATTGATTTCTTGGCAATAATTTCACAAGAACCCAGACAAACCCGTTCAAATCAGATATTGAATAATGTATAGGAGTATGGCTTGAAACCATTATCGCGGTACAAGGTGATAAGTAGCAAATTTCTTGTCAATTTAGTTATCAATTTCCCAAGGTTTCAAGTGTAAGCCTGTGATTACTTTTTGATTAGTATTTACTGATTACTCACCTAGTTTCTGAATTACTTGGGGCGATGACGATTCCATCATACATTCGTTGGCCCAACCGATGTTCAGCCGCCAAAGCCATAGAAATCGAAGCTTTGCCGAAAGCAGTAAGGAAAAAACGGGTACTCTTGGATATCGGCAATGAAATGGTATTCGATGAAGTAGTGACGGTGAGCTTATCATCGGTTAGCTTCAACGCCTGAAATGTGCTAATCGTTGAGACAAGGTCTTTATAGACATGGCCTCGGAGAAGCACTTAGTACATTCCTCTTCTTACTATCATTTAGCCTTTTTTTTT